CAAGATCAAAAGTGGATTTTGTTCGTCAATCCTTCCTTTATTTGATCCTATAATTACATTTGAAGAATATGCCAATACGGTAACTCCAACTCTAAATGTTTATAAGTATTTTTTCGACGAAATTTTGAAAAAATTCTAATTGTTGCTAAAATTGATAAAATCGAAAATGTTTAAATGTGGATTGATAGTTGAGCTTCCAATGGGTATGTATGAATATTGGGAGCTTAAAATAATCGTTGGTTTTACAGTAAGAGAGAATTGAAAAATAAGGATAATTCTGTATTTTCTTAATTAACAATTCAATTGTGCGAAATCTACCAGGCCGATTTCTATGAAAAAATTTCTGCAATGCTGCCATATCATGAATAGCATATTTTTTATATATCTGCTCTAAAGTCAAGGTCCGAAATAAATTAATGAAAAAACGATATTTTTTAAGGATTTTTTTTCGGTTTATACTGTATTGCATGCAGCAACAATAATGCACATAAAAATCAGGACTACTTTTATTTTGCAGAGAATCTCAAAACGAAACTTTTTTTCCTTTGGCTATTTTGTCAATATTCTCCGAGTTATACATGAAAGAAAAGAGAAACATGCGCCTTTTTTAATTTTTTTTCGCATTTTCTTATACTAACAATTATGCACAACTTTTTCAGCTGGTGCATACCGCAATTATCATTCTACATAATATTTAGAACTATTCTTGACAAAAATTAGCGTTACTTTATAAAACATTCATCCCAAAACAGATACCGACTGGACTATTAGGTATATTTAATATTAATATTAATCATTTTTAATGTCCTTTATATTACTTGTACTAAATCGATAAACCTTGTCTCAGTGAGTCCAGTAAAATTCGGAATAAAGTGGTTTATTTGTCAATGAGGATAATAGGTACTCCCAATTGGCTTTTATGAGGCACCAAGTACTTGATGCCTGAGACGTGATATATTTCTTAAATTTTCTATTTTTTTTTAAATTTTGTTAAATACATCTTCGTCACATTTCAACCACGAAATAACCTATAAATGTATAAATTTTCTTAACTCACCCAGTGGCAAAGATAAAACACAAAACCAATGTTATCAAACCCATATTGAATACGATTTGACAGTGAATTCTGCCTATTTTTGGATTTATATAGTGATAAAACCTTTTTATTCATAACTGTTTTTACTCTCTGAAGTGTTTTTAAATCACCTTTGCAAATTTAAATTAGTTACTTAATTTTTAAAGAGGGTTTTCTGTTATCACATTCCTTAAATTCAAAATTGATATTTTCGGATATTATTTAGAAATCTGATTAGAGGGATTATAATAAGGTATATCAATCACATTGATTGATGTACAAAAAACATGTTATTAATACCAATTTTGAATTAATCTTAGATATTTTACAAAATACTGACACAATCCAAAATCAAAAATATTAATACAGTGTGTTCCTTTTGTTCGTGTTTGAAATGTAATAGCTTTTAGCCTTTTTAGTTATTTTATCATCCTATTTCTGCCACTATGGCTAAACGCCCGGAGACGTGCAACCCCCAACCTGATAAACTTTGCCGAATCTCCATTTTGTCGTGGGATAGGTATCTTTTACTTGCCTAATATTGTTTAGACCAGAGTCCAACGGTATCACATCTTTTCCAAGGGTTGATATGTTTTTCTATACAAACATCGCCCAAATCTGTATAGTTTCTGTGAATATACCGACATACGTATAGGCCACTGGAAGGTGGACGAGCATCGCCATCCTTCCCCGGATGGTAACCCATCCAAATACTAACCACGATAAGCGTTATTTAAATTTTCATATCAATAGCATGAATGCCAAATTGCTAGGCTGCACTCGCCGCAAACTTAATAAAATGGTAAGCTTATCTGGGTAGTTGAATATTTCAGAATATATTTCACTTTTCAGCATTCATTAAAAATGCTTTTTATAATTTAGTTAGTATTGCAGAAAAAAAATAAAAATGTTTCTAATTTCTAAAATTTGAACTCCCGGTTACCTTCTATTGAAACAATTTTTCACATTTCACATGATTCGGAGATCCAATAACATGATCAAAATATACAGGGTGATTCAGAACTCATACAAAAAAAATCTGTACAGTACAATACAATTTTGTAAAGAAAAAATCAAAAGGGTAGTTCGAAAATGATTTAAAAATACACTTCTGCACGGCACTGGAAACTGGTCCACTGTAAAACCTGACCTCGCACAATGCGACCGTCACGGCAGCAGTGATAAAAACGGATAAAAACTTTAAAGAATTTCGCAAGGAAAGGAATAAATAAAATTTTATAGCACCTATTTTATATCAGCAAATTCAACTACTTTTGCAGCTATTGAAATTACTTTGTGGTTTTAATTAATAAAATAATTTGACACGCCTGATGTAACAACAACTGTTCAAAATTTTGTCCACCGACTTGTAAACACATTTGGTCCTGTCTTATTCAGTTTCTACGAACTAACACAAATGTTGTACTGCTTCACCATAACACAAATGTTTCACCTTAATACAAATGTCGTCTTGCTTCACCATAAATTAAAATGATATCCATCAATTCCGAGTTTCTATACACGCAAGCCACTAACTAGGTACTAAAAAACTATTGTAAACACTATCGCTGAGGCCGCGTGGCTCCCCACGCGTATTGCGATTGACGAATCAGGAATTCGTCAAAAGACTTATTTTAAAAGATATAATTATCTAAAAGAGATTACTTTATGCAATCGCCAATCACCATTGTGAGAATTACTTCAGGTAAGGGTAGGTGTAAAGTTTTGTAGTACAGTTCTATTATTGCCCTAGTAAGTTATTATAAAGTTTGTAAAATTGTAACATTAATTGTATGAAATTATTTGACAATTATTGAAGATTGAGTAGTGAAGAAAATTTTCCGTAGATGCACATGGAAAAAATTGATAAAAGCGATGTGCGAGCATTGGTAACAGTATATGCAAACGTCGAGACGGATATATTTATTAGCGACGATTATATGTTGTGTTTATTGTATTTTTGTTCAAAATTTAAATAAACAACGATATTTGCAGCAATATTTACATATTACGTTCATTTGAATGTCAGTAATATACAATATATTATAAATTCTCATATGCATAGGTACCACTATTGCATATTACCCAGTAGTTTAAAAAAAAATGAATTTTACGTTACCTGCTATAATACAAAATATTCTTAATGATTCAATACCTTCTCTGAAATATAAATACTTCCTTGAAATTAAACTAAAAAGTAGTTCGGAATTGGGTAAAAAGTTAAAAAGATACAGCATTGTCCGACACTCCCTGACATACCATTTTAACTTGCTTGACACAAAAGAGACAAATTTATAAGAAGCAGTGGTTGTTCCGAAAAGGAAATCGTCCGAAAAAGCTTTATTGTTGATCTCTCATCATCAGAAAAGCTACAAAAAAAAATTCATCTATTTTTTTAAGCAGAAAGGAATGATCCTAAACCATTATTGTTTTAGAATTTTTCATCGATTTAATTTCTTTGCCCATATATTTATTGTATTTCATACCTATATAGTTTAATTTTTATTGTAAACAGAATTTATTAACAAATATGCACTGAAAGAAATGCGTTTTATTCTTTATTAGAATTCTATATACCATTATAAGACCATTGTATACTATATGTGACAGTTAAACAGGTGAATATTGGATATAAAACGCGTATTGCTAGCACAGTTGTATAGTGACTATAAACCTTATTCTTTATTAAATTATTGTATAACTAGTATACAACGTTTTTTTATACCCTTTACGAAATAATAGCAATAACTGTTATTAAAGTGTTCCATATCGTTATTAGAACATCTAGTACTGGTTATAAGTTTTATAATAATAAATGTATTAAACTGTT